TCTGTATACAGTCGTCCCTGCTGTGCGTGCTCTGTGCCCAGGGGTCAGAGGGGGTCTGTATACAGTCGTCCCTGCTGTGCGTGGTCTGTGCCCAGGGGTCTGTATACAGTGGTCCCTGCTGTGCGTGCTCTGTGCCCAGGAGTCAGTGGCCGGCGACGCCCCTTCTGGCCTCTCTTCCTCACAAAGCCCTTTTCTCCCCATTTCTCCTCTTTTCTTTCGTTTTCTTTTCCCCTTCGCTGGACTCTGCAGACCCCTGTCAGTGGGTGCTTCGACGTCATCACGCAGGACGGGAATCTCATCTCCATGCTGACGTCATCACGCAGGACGGGAATCTCATCTCCATGCTTGACATCATCATGCAGGACGGGCATCGCATCTCCGAGCTTGACGTCATCACGTCGTACCACGCAGGACGGGAATCTCATCTCCGTGCTTGACGTCATCACGCAGGACGGGCCTCCATCCCCAGGTCCGTCCCCCTCCCACCTGCTCCCTTCCCCTCTCCGCTGCTCTCTGGGCTGTTGACCGTGATTTTTCCCTTGGTGTCACAGCTGTGCACAAGGCTGGGTCACGTGGGCCCCTCATATGTGCACGTCGCATACTTTGGCCCTTGGATTCCACTCTCCCCCTTTCCCCACCCCTCCCCTGGGTCCCTTCCTCCATCCACCCATGTCCCTTCTATTTCCCTGGGATCCCCCACCTCTCTCCCTCCCCCGTCGCGCTGTGGCATCCGCGTAGGAGGGACAATGTCCGACCTTGGACTTTCACGTCGGGCTTGTTCTCTGCAGCATAATACTCTCCAGCTCTGACCTTCACCAAGCAAATCCCTCGCCCTCGCCCTCGGGACTGAACCCAGGTCACTAACCCCCGAGCCACGTCCCCAGCCCTTTTTATTTTTTTCTTTAGAAACAGGGTCTCGCCAAGTTGCTTTTGGGCCTCGCTAAGTTGCTCAGGGCGGCCTCCAACGTGCCATCCTCCGGCCTCAGCCTCCCAAGCCGCTGCGGTGACAGGTGCCCAGCTACAGAGATTTTTATTGTTTAATCTTTTTTATTTTTCTGATTGATGTTAAGTGACAGGCCTCTGTGGGTGGGCAGCCTAGGACCCAGCTGGGCATTGCTTAGCTGCACAACGACGTCCCTGTCAAATGCACCCCGCGGGGGGGAAGGAGCCCAGTGGCCTCGGCTCGCCCGCCTGCTTCTGAGCCCCCAGGGGTCCCTGCTGGACCCTTGGCGAGGTCCTCCTGTGGACGCTGATTCTCTTCTGCCCCCAGCAGAATCCAGAGAAAATGGCATCTTTGTGTCCCCCGCGAGGGAGGCCGCTTGTCACCTGGGCTGCATCTGGGGCTTAATTTATGCTCCCGTCTCTCTGCTTCCCGGGCGTCTGCAGCCAAGCCGGTCATTTCAGCTGTCACGGCCGCCGGCCCCCGGGGAGAACGCGGTGGCAGCTGTAATCTCCTTTGGGCACGTTGGGGACACGGGAGGGAGCGCTGGGTGTTGAGCCTTTTCTTCGTCTGGTGACACAGGTGCCGGGGTGATCACGGCAAGAGACACGTGACCGGGTTGCCAGGGTCCCCCTGGTCTGCTTTATTTAATCGGGTCTGTCGCCTGGTCAGGTCCAGCCCCGAGCGCTGTCCCCAGCCCTATTTTGCATTTTATTTAGGGACAGGGTCTCCCTGAGCTGCTCAGGGCCTCGCTTTGGTTGAGGCTGGCTCTGAACTCGCGATCCTCCTGCCTCAGCCTCCCGAGAGCCGCTGGGATGAGAGGTGTGGGCCACCGTCCCGGTCACATCGCCTTGTCATCAACTCCTACCCCCTGGGGTCTGCACACCGCCCCCTCACCCCCCCCCCAAAAAAAAAGTGACACTGCAAATTTTTGCAAGTGCGTCTCTCTGCACGTGAGTGACAGCTGAGCGCTGTCAAAAGCAGCGGGTGTCGGAGGCTGTCACCAGGCACAGCTGGGTGGCCAGAGGCTGTCACCAGGCACAGCTGGGTGGCCGGCCGTAATGAGATCCTGCAGCCGGGTTTGTCACTCCCGGGTCCCTAAATGAGCTCCTTAATCCCCGTCCCTGTCCTCTGCGGGGCTGGCAGGGGCTGAGCTCTGTTTTGCATGTCACACAGGATCTGGGCCACCGTCAGCGGCTCCCTGGGGACGTGGCTCGGGTCCCAGGCTGCAGGAAGCCCCCGCCGCAGCGCGATGCTCCGTTCACAGGCGGAACCGAGCCAGGCTGCGGCTCCCGGGGAAGCCAGGAGCAGAGCCAGCGGGAAATGTCACCCGAGGGGGGTGTTCCCCAGACGTCCCCAGCGGCTCCGGAGCTGTCTCCGAGCGCCTCCCCGCGAGCTGCGCGACTAGCTCCAAGTGTCATGAGAAATTCATTAGAAAACACGGGGACAGGGGGGTCCCAGCACCTTCAGACCCAGACAACGCTGTGATTTGGGGCACAGCTGCCCCCATATACAGTTGTCCCCGAGGATACTGGCTCCGAGACTCCCCGGGGAGGCCAGCCAGGGCAGAGGCCGGAGTCCCCTCGGTGACCTAGCGGGGCTGCTGATCGCAGGTCACGTGCACAAGTCCCCCTTTATGGTTTAAATCACCTCGAAGAGGCCATCTACAAAGGGACCTCGCTGTGTCCACAGCGGTCATCCCGCATTGCTCAGGGAAAAGAGAAAAGTCCCTGCGCGTGTTCAGAGTGGACACAAGGTTCAGGTCTTTTTTATTCCCCTGAGACGGGGGACTCAACTTGACCCCTGAGCCACGTACCCAGCCTTTTAATTTTTTTTTTTTTTTTTTTTTTTTAGAGACAGGGTCTTGCTGAAAGGCTCAGGGCCTCACGAAGTTCCAGAGGCTGGCCTCCATCCTGCCATCCTCCTGCCTCAGCCTCCTGAGACACTGGGAAACCCATTTTTTTCCTCTTATTCCCCCCCCCCTTTTTTTGGAGTTGGGGTACCAGGGATTGAACTCAGGGGCCCTCGACCCCTGAGCCCCATCCGCAGCCCTATTTTGCATAGTGACAGCTGAGCATTGCTGTCCCACCACAGGGACATTCTACTGTCCTTCCTACCCCCTCCCCCTCCCCTCCCTTCACTCCCCTCTGACTAATCCAAAGCCCCTCTGTTCTCCCCCCAGACCCCCCCCCCCTTATTGTGAATTAACACCCACATATCAGGGAGACCACAGGGCCTTTGATTTTGGGGGATTGGCTTATCATTTAGCAGGATAGTCTCCAGCGCCACCCATTTTCCAGCAAATGCCATCATTTCATTCCTCTTCATGGCTGAGTGATATTCCACTGTGTAGACATACCACAGTCTCTTTATTCATTCCTGTATTGGAGGGCACCTGGGTGGGTTCCGCACTTTAGCTATTGTGAGTGGAGCTGCTATAAACGTTGATTTCCTCTCGCCCCACTCAGAATGGCACCACCCAGAAGGCCAGTAGCTCACACCAGGCGTGGAACCACCCTGTGACCCAGAACTGATCCTGAAAAACTCAAGTCCTCTTGCTGCAGTGACCCCCTGCACACACCCAGGTTCCCAGCGGCACAGTTCACAGTAGCCAGACTACGGAACCAGCTCAGGGGTCCGTCAGTGGACATCCATTTCTGTCAAGAAATGTGGTCTCTCTGCACTCTGGAGTACTACTCGGCCGTGAAAAAGAATGAAACGATGGCGTTTGCAGGAAAACAGATGGAACTAGAGACCACGAGGCTAAGAGAAATAAGTCCATCTCAGAAGGTCCAGGGCGGGCAGCTCGGAACAGGCAGGAAACCCAAGCAGCCATCAGGCTCCGGCCTGTGCTCTCGGGTAGAACCCTGGGGAACAACAGGGATGGCGTCTGGCCCGCAGCCCGGATTCCACCTTCTCCAGAACCAGCTACAAATCCTGCGTCAACGAGGAAATGCGCTCTGGGGCCGGCAGCTCGCGGGAAATCCGGGGCTGCGCTGCGGGGGGCGATCCGTCCGGTTAGCAGAGCAGTGCATGAGGATGTCACCCCGAGGAGGACCTGGCAAAGCCGGCGCCGAGTGGCAGGTGCTTCCAAGCCCCAAAGGAGCCCCGGTCCTAGAGCCCGGGACACCGCCCTGAGCGCAACGCATGCACCCCGCGAGGCCCGAGCTGCGCAGCAAGGGGCCTGTCCTCCCCGGAGCTAGGGAGGCTGAGGCAGGAGGATGGCGAGTTCAAAGCCAGCCTCAGCCAAAGGGAGGCCCTGAGCAGCTCAGGGAGACCCTGTCTCTAAATAAAATGCAAAATAGGGCTGGGGACGGGGCTCAGGGGTCGAGGGTCCCTGAGGTCAACCCTCCCCACCCCCCAAAAAAACCCCTCCTTCCCGTGCATCCCTAGTCCTGGGTGACCTGCTCCAGGGGAGGTCAGAGGGTCCTTCCCAGGGGTGACCTGCTCCCTATACACAATGGACGAGCACCCCATCCTATTTGGGAGTCAGCCACTCCCAAGGGTCATGAACCATGTTTTCTCTGGAGAATCCCCAACGCTGTCCTTCGGGGACCCGTCCGTAGATGGTGAGTCCTTCCTGTTACCCTCCTGGAAGAAGTTGCTGCATGTTCTAGTTTCCAGGGATTTTTTTTCCCTCCGTCACTAACTGTTCTCTAAAGAGTTTTTACCAACCTAATTTTGGGAGTTTGGGGGACACAGGGATGCTCTACAACTGGGTCAAACCCCGATCGTTTTTTAATTTCATTTTGAGGCCGAGTCTTGCTACGTTGCTTCGGGTTTCAGTGAGTTGCTGAGGCTGGCCTTCACCTCGGGATCCTCCTGCCTCGACCTCCCGAGTTGTGGAATCACGGGTGTGCACAGGCTCCCTGATTGAATTTGGGGGATACCCACTTTCAAGGCCAAACCAGAATGGGGAAGAAGGTCGAAAATACCAGAAGAAACCGAAAGCAGAACAGGGCACCAATTTTGGGAACTGTCTACACCTCCGTCCCACAAATGGAAACTCCCAAGGAGCATTGATGCGTGTGAGTTTTCAAACCCACTGTGACTTCTTCTACTTGATAAAGACATAAAAACACCCCGTGCCCCCTGCAAAATCTGGAGGAACGCGTGACAGTGGCCTCCCTCTGGTGGGTGGTCGGAGAAGATGCCTTTTCGCAACACTGGACGTGGTGGGATGGGAAATGGGTAGAATTCAATCCACTTGAAATGATTCAGTTATGAGAGGTGTAGACTAAAAGTGGATTAATCCACTTGGATGGACTCACTGGGTGGTGACTGCAGCAGGTGGGTGTGGCTGGAGGAGGGGGTCCCTGGGCTGTACCTTTGGGGTCTCTGTCCTGTCCCTGGTGAGCAGAGCTCTCTCTGCTCCCTGGTGCCCTGTCCTGAGCTGCTCTCCTCCTCCAGGCCCTGCCGCCATCTTGTTCTGCTCCCCTTGGGCCAGAGCCATGGAGTCGGCCACCAGGGACTGGACCTCGGACACCAGGAGCCCAGGTAAACTCTTCCTCCGTGTTCTCTTTGGTGGGCAGGAGGTCAAGAAGCGGAAGAAAGTAGACCAGTGGTCACTAGCGGATGGGAAGGGCGAGGCCGGGGTGTTGGAGGGCGGTTGGATAACGGGTAGCACGGTGCACTCTGACCCAAGGAGGGAGCTCCACAGACAGGGGGTGGGCCGTCCTCCACTAGAACCCAGTGCATATTCCACAGGTTTCCGGAAGAGATGGCGTGAGGGCTTCAAATGCAGACGTGACGGGAGGTGGACGTGCTGGATTCAGAACAGAACAGAACGTTAGCAGCATCAGGGGAGGAGAAATGGAATCCCCAGATGACCGGCCGGAATCCAGTGGACACACGCTTCAGAATCCCCTCCCTCCCCTCGAGCATGCGTTGCACATCTCCGACGGTGGACATTCAATGATGGCGCTGACCCTTCCACCAACTTCGTGTCCATAAAACGAAGGTGACCCTGGGTGGCCTTGGACGAATCCAAAGGAGACCTTGATAAAGAAGAAATGGTGGCGGCATCCAGCAGATTCTGGTTTCAGAGAGGAAAAGAAAGCACCGTGTTCCATGAAGACCCATGGAGGGAACCATTGTTCCATTACCTGAGGGCAGGTTCCAGAGAATGAGATCGACCCTGAGCCAGTGGCCAGTGAGAAGGACAGGACTCCAGCCCTGCACCCTCAGTAGACTGAGTTGCCCCAACGCCATGACAACATGAGTGTCCAAGAGGCTCAGCGGGTGGGTGATCATGGCGCCATTTTGAGGAGATCACTGGTGGCCGTGGGTGCTGGGGAGACCATCATGGCGCACACGGGCCATTGTACGGTACTGCGAACCCACAGAACATACAACATCGGGAGGTCACTCCGCGGAGAGGTCGACTTTGGGTAAATGGAGATGCCAATGTGGGTCCGTCCATTGTAACAGGGAACAGGGGGAAGATGTTGGTGATGGAGGAGGCTGTGCTATAGCAAGGGTTCGGGGGGTGTGGATAGTCTCAGTACTTTCTACTCCATTTGGAGGTGAACCTAAAATTTTCCTTAAAAAATAAAGTCTATTAAAAATCGACCAAAAAAAAAAATGACAATATTGTTGAGGGCATTTTCTAGTAACGTCTGTCAGGTAGAGACCAGAGACGCTGCTACATGTCCCCATGATGCACAGGACAGACCGTCCCAGCACAGAACAACCCCGTCCCCCGAGCTGACGGTGCCAAGGCTGAGAAAATCCTTTCTCCGCGCTAAAGAACGGAGCTGCTGGAGATTTCACGGCTCCGTGTTGTCCTCTTAAACACTCATCCCCCAGAAACCATAAGGGAGGTGCTAACCCAGAAAATAGACGACCCCACCCGGGTTGAAGGATCTCGGCCCCGTCACGGAGGGTGAGAGACGGTGACGTGCCAACAGGTCCAGTGTTGACTTTTATTCTGAGCCGCTCAGAAGGTCGCTGCCACCTTGAGTTTGTCTCATCTGTCTCTTGGGAAGTCATCCTTCTGCCCTGGAGCGAAAGGAGAGCTCGCCGGATCCGCAGCAGCTCCGGCGGAGCCGAGCGTCCAGCCATCCATGATGACTCACGGGCCACAGGGAATCGTCTTAGAGGAGCTCAGAAGAAATCCTCTTAGCAGGAATTTGGGGCATGAGAGAGAAGGGGAGGGCCTCTTGGCTCATCCTGGCGGGAGAGGGGAGTCGGTCCTCTCTCCGCTGGGGGAGAAGAATCCGGAACACGTCCATACTGGTCTTTTTTTTTTCTACTCTCAAATCTGTCTCCTTCTTAGCAGGAATTTTAAAAAATAAAATAAAATAAAGGGAGGGTCAAAGTGGACACACCATGGGTGGGGGTATCGTGGCGTGGACCCTTCCTCTCTCTGTTCGTTCCATGGCTGCCCCAAGCTGAGCTGCTGGTCTACACCACACCCATCCGCCATGATGTTCTGCCTCACCTCAGGCACAGACCCATGGAGCCCTCCAACCGTGAGCCACTGGAAACCTTTCGTCTCTTTAACTCTATTTTTCTCAGGGATTTTGTCACAGAAAATGGAAAGCGCATAGCCCCTCACCCACTGGGGTCCCAAGATACCCGTCGTCACATGGAGTAGACGCCGTGTCCCATGGAGAAACAAAGTGGGAACGTCCCGTGGAGATGGAGACCCCGCGCCTGTGGACGGTCCCTGTCTTTACCTGCCTCTCATCCTAGGAAGGGCAGCTCGGGAGAGCAGGGCCCTCTGCAGCCGGGCATCCTAGAGAGATGACCTTAATCGAGTTAGACAGGCTCAACTGGGACAGAAGGCGGCCGGACGCTTGAGCAAGCAACTGTGCATCCTGCACCACGGACAGGATCGGGGTGAAACATGCCCCGGTCTCCTCTCGGCTCCAGTCACCCCATCCAGGGTGCGTTTGAAATCTCGGCAGCCCCGAGGCTCACCTGGTTTGACCCCATCCATTTCGGGATGAGAGCACATCGCCCAGGAAGGTCAGGTCCCAGATCCCACCCGGGAGCTCAGGTGGTCTGACTCTGTCCGGACGATGTGCCCATCTGTGTCCCAATGTCCTCAATTTACAAGCACACGAGTCCTGTGACATTGGCGCTCCTCATGGCTTAGGTATGAGGTGTCCCCTAAAGGTCCAGGTGTGAGACAAGGCAACAAGGCTCAGAGGTGAAATGATCAGATTACGATCATCCAGATGTGTTCCACACTCAGTGGATTAATCCACTTGGATGGACTCCCTGGGTGGTGACTGCAGCAAGTGGGGTGTGGCTGGAGGAGGGGGTCCCTGGGCTGTGCCTTTGGGGTCTCTGTCCTGTCCCTGGTGAGCAGAGCTCTCTCTGCTCCCTGGTGCCCTGTCCTGAGCTGCTCTCCTCCTCCAGGCCCTGCCGCCAT